CAGGATAAATCTTCTGTTCATATGAAGGCAATTGTCACTGAAATCATATCCTAAACTGGCATGAATCAAAGGTCTACAATTAAATGTCATGTTGTTTTCTAAGTTTGAGAATGAATGTGAGTAAGATTGTCCATTTCCTTTTTTTTATATTCTCTCAGGAGTAAGAAATTAAGCAAATACACGGCAGGCTATAGCACACAGCAATTGTGCTGTTTCCCACCAGTTTTATGGATCCTAATAATTCTTACAAATTTTACATGTTTTGTGTCTAATACAGCAACATGTTCCTCCCGCCTGCTATAACCCCAGTTCCTTGCTCTCCTAGAGCCTGCAGAGCCTGGGCTAGCCTAGCTCCACCCTGGAAGAGTTCACAGCTCGGTGTTTGGACTGTGAACTCACACAGCCTGTAATCCTTGCATCCCACAGAGGAATTAAGGATGAGGAGGGATGCAGCTGTGGATGTTGGAGAGGGGAGAAACGGCGCTGATGGGGAGCTGAGGAGAAGGAGGGCATGGGGTATGCGGGTAGCTGGTGGGTGCTGCTGGGCAGCATTAGCTAACTGGGAGGGCTGACAGAATCCAAAGAGCTAAGCCAGATCCGAAGGGAGGGGTGACACTGGGCAGCAGGAGGGAGGGCAGAGCTAGGCAGAGTGCATGGTGGTGGTGGGCAGGGACGGACTCAGAGGTTATAACCCACAGAAAGCTGGGCAAAGTGGGCAGGTGTCAGGCTAAAGGGTAGAGCTGACAAGAGGGGTAGGTAGACTGGTTGATTTTGAGGTGTTGGCAGAATTCACTCTTTGGCATGTTCTTGGCAAAGGGTGTAAATCACTTTTCTCCATAGCCCTGGTGCAGGGAAGGCACACTCTCCCTTACCTCCATGCAGCCTTCTCTCCCTGAACACACGCCCAGGGAACAGCCAGAGGAAGACTAAATGCAATATAAGAGGTTTTCTACCTTAACCTTTTTCTTTTGGGGAGGTAGAAAGGTTGGAGTTATGGTTTTAGATCTCTTTAGGCAATACCATGCCTAGCTTAACTCCAACTAATGAAAGAGACTATTTATCTAATAGACCTTTAATCACGGGCTCTACTTAAAAATCAATTACATGATACAACCATTATAGTTAAGCTCTAAATCTCATGTGTCTTCCTGTTATCTGAGGATTTTCCTCTGAGATAACAGATGATTGATACGCAGCCAGATTTTCAAATGCTCACCACAGAGTACAGTCCAGGTTTTTTTCATCCAGCTGTTCCTGTTTTGAATGCTTATAAAGCAGGTTTTCAAAGCCTTAGCACCTACTGTGCTGTGGTTTGAAAGATCACTTCCTCATTTATGTGAGCAATTAGGGGTTTAGCTGTCTCGGGAACCTGACCGCAGCTCTGAGTGCTGAGATCATTTAAAAGTTTTGGCTACAGAGAATAAAGCTAGAAGGCGTCTTGATTAATTTTAGCCCAATTGCCCTAAGGCACAAAGGACTACAGATAAAAGATGGTGCAGTCCCTGGAGAACAAGTTTTCTTGATGCTTTCTAAGCTTGGTAAGATTCCACACAATTTTTATAAGTTCTGTTTCTCTAATGTGACTGCATTACACCACGCATGCAAGCCACATACCAGCACGTCGTTTGCAGTGCCCTCAGCCAAATGCCAGGCAGGTAAGTGTGCAGCTAAGCAAGCCTGGACACAGTTGTGATTTGGATGTCAGGGAGACGGGGAGAGAAGGAAAAGGCTGCAAACTGGTGCTGTATTTCCCACCCTACAGTTGTCCGCCTCTACGTGACATGCAGTTAGCGGAGAAGAAGCATCAAGGAAAGGTCAACAGCTGCTCAGAGCACTTTCAGGTCAGACGTATACTTGGGGTTGCCAGCAATGTAATGGGAGGCAGCTGAAGAGGTCATGCTTCCATTTACCATTTCACAGTGACAAGCTCTGGCATTTTAACTTGGTGCTACTCAGAGAACCAATTTTCAGTACCTAATACGATATAAATTATCTTAACTCAGTCAATTCCAGAGACCTTAGGCAAACTTTTCGTATCAGGCTGGATACCAATAGTACCATTAAACTCAGATGTGGCTGGAAAGCTTTCTTATATCAATGGCATCACCCATAAAAAAGCAGGAAAGCTGTTATGCATGGATAATACAAATTGGAAAATAGGTCTTGGTTTAGTCTGCTGAAGAAATGCCTCCAATAATACTGTTAGTCTTGATTTAGTTTCAATTCTTCTCCAAAAGCTAATATCTTTCTCCTGTAACTCTGGTTGCATGTCCTTGTTTATGCAAACAATAGACATTTCTCACCTAGAAGCCTTGTGGTAGTCTACCATAAATGGTAGTAAAACTATAACTCCTAATTAGTAACCCAAAAGAAAATCTTAGTGTCTTTGGCTCCAGCAAGTTAAGATTTCCTGAAAATTCATTCCAGGCTGTTCTCTTCCACATTTCCACTTTCTCTTTGAGCTCCTACAGACTATTCCACCCTTGCGGTTATTTATCACATAGCCATATGCCTTCATGCTACAATTTAAAATCGGTCAACGAAGCCAGTGAGATTTGGCCTTTCTGATTTAACCCTGTATGGAAGCAAGGGAATCAAATGCACCGGGTCATCTCACTAGTAGCGTTGGGCATCTCACTGGAGGTGTTGGCCCATTATTTGGAAGGAAAATTATCATGTATTTAGAAAAAAATGTAATTCAAAGCTCAAGACAAGAGCTGTACTTTTGGATTTGAGGACGATCTGGCTAATTTAACACATCTGTCCTTTTGTCAAGATGTTCTGTGTTTTCCCCAAGTCTACAGCATTGCTCCTCTTTGACACACGGTTTAGGGTGCATAGGAGAACTGTAACCAGGTCAAGAGCCTTTCTTTGAGCTCTGTGCCGCTCCGTTTGGGTTGTACCACTACATATCCTTCTGCTGAACAAGTCCAGGACTAGCTGTGGTCAGAGTAATTGTTCTTTCTATGTGTAGTCAATGTGGCAACTTGTTCTTTGATGTGCATTGCTGGCAAATGCCCTGAGCTGAAATACACATAGAATTCAGCAACACCAAATACAATCTGTGGGAAAACTGTTCAATGTTCGGCCAAACTTGCATTAGCAATGCAGACTGCAGCCATAGCTGTAGCCTTGATTTCTTTCTGCCTGACAAAAGAGAGACTAACCAGTTTCTCCATCAGCATTTTAAGGACTTCAAAGGAACCAGCATGACCTTGGATCTGCAGTGCAAATTCTTGCTTTGCCTTGGATGTGTTGCTGAATAATGGTCTAGTAAGAGAGGTAAGAATGATACTGATGCTTTAATGTTGCAACAGGAGAACCATATTAAAATACCAAAGCTACAAATAAAAATCATGAAGGGCAGAAGGAGGAAAGAGCAGAAGCCTTTGGAAGCGTGTATTACTACTGTATTGCAGCCTGTTGGAAAAGTGCTTCTCCTTTTACCAGTCAATCACTGGCCATCAAAACTGCTTATATGAGCCCTGAAAGAAACGGTAACCCCATCAGGAAATAAGGACACCTCTCGGGAAGCGTAAAGCAAGAAGTTTTTCCCAAAGCTAATGGGGTAAGTCCCCTCGATGGGAAAAGCAAACCCGCCAGAACTCAAACCGAGCCCTAGGAGAAGAACTCGCCGAAGGGGGATGGCACGGCCACACCCGGGCGGGGAGAGGAAGGATGCGGCTCGGCGGGGACCGGCCGCCAGCCCCGGGGCACCTGCCCGGCCGGGAGCCGCCTCGGAGCCGGCCTGGCCAGCAACAGGTCACCGAGCGCGGGCTCAGCCTGAGCCCCTCGGCCGCTTTTAACGCGCCGCGGCACGCAGCCCTCTCCTCCCCCTCCTCAGCTCCCGCCCGCCCGGCGCGTCCCTCCGCGGTTAAACCCCTCACGCTCCTCCTCTTCCTCCCCTCCTGCAGCCCCAGCCTGCCGGGGTGGTCCCGCCGCCCGGGCCCGGGGGCAGAGCCCGCCCTCCGTAATCCATGCGCGGGCGGCAGCGGCACCGCCGCGGCGCTCTGAGGCGGCAGGCGGAGCGGAGCGGGCCGTGCCGGGCCGGGCCCTGCCCCGCCGCCGCCCTCTCGCTTTCCCCGCTTGGCCGGTGAGTACGAGAGGAGGGGTCCCGCTCTGCCCGCGGCGGGGCCGGGGGGGAGGTAGCAGGAGGGGCCGCGGCTCCTCCGCCTTCCCCGGCTGCTCCCGCTGCGGGCGGCAGGAAGGTCCTGGGCGGGAGAGGGCGGCCGCGGGGGAGGAGAGCCCCTTCCCCCGCGGGAGGAGAGGTGTCGGCGGGCCGCTGCGGGAAGCCGTGGGGGGGGTGGCCGTCGAGGGAGGCGGGTGCCCGAGGGAGCGGGGCTGCCTGCGGGCAGGGGATCGGTAGGGATCCCCGGGAAGGCGGGGGCTTAGTTGGGGCTGGGAGAGCGACCTGTGGGAGCGGGGAGGGGTGGGATGGAGGCACTGGTGGGGGGGGGAGCCCCGGCCCTGAAAACGTGGGGTGAGCCGGGGGCAGCGGAGCAGGTCTGTGCTGGGGGAAGCCGGGGAAGCGGGCGGGCGGGTGGGGGCTCTGCGGGAGGGACGGGCTTGGCGGCGGAGGAAGGGGCTGCGGCACGGCGGGGCGGCGTGTGCGGGTCCGCGGGGAGCGAGGCCGGATCCGCCCGCTGAGGGGAGCGGGGCGGCGGCCGCCGCGAGCGGAGCGGGGCGGCTTTCCCCGCTGAGCGGGGGTCGGGGGCCGGCTGCGAGCGTCTGCCCGCTGAAGGGAGAGGAGCGGCTGGAGCCGGGCGGGGAGAGCCCCGGAGATCTCCGGGGAGGGGGGGGCCCGCTGAGGGCACCTGCCCGGGGCGAGGAGGGGGGAAGGGGGGGGGCGGTGGGGCCTGAGCGGCGCCGGGGAGGCGGAGCGGGACGGGGACACCGTGCTGGCCTCGAAAGGGGCTCGTCAAGGGGCGGAGGAGGCAGGGAGGCAAACCCCTGCCGGGGCTCCGCGGTGGAACCGCGGGTGGGAGCGGGGTGAGGGGCCCGCCGGGGGTCCCCGCTCCGTGCGGCAGCGCGCTGCGGCGAATGCCGCCTCGGAGGAGTTGACGGAGGCGGCGCTGCCGGGGGCTCGCCGCTCGGGGGGCACCTGGGCAGATCGCGCCAGCCCTCCCCGGCTGGTCAGACCTTTTCCTCGGCAAGGATGAGCTGGGGACCTCATCCGAGAGCCGGGGGGGAAGGGGCAGGTGTAGTGAACAGGGGCCGTGTCTTCCCCCGCACGCACAGACAGGGGAGCTGCTGGAGAAACTACCAAATCGGTCGGTGTTCCAGCAGAGGCAGAGCTGCGGTACCCGTGCTACTGTGCAGTTTGCAGATCGAGTACTAAGCAGGGTGGTAGAGGAGGAGGTCTCTACAGTTTCAGTAATCGGAAGGACGACGAAGGAAAGACTTGATCTGCCAGTGGAAGTCGCGGTGCCTTGGTACTGGGACACACGTTTTCAGTCCTCATCAGTTCACATTTGCCAAAAAAACTACTGGTTTATGGGCTGGCTTTACTGTGTTTTAATATTTTCTATGTGATGCTGAAAAGTGCTCTCGCAAGGAATGTTGTATGAATAGCACGGTAAATGCACCGCGTAAAATCAAGGGGTTTTCTTGTTTGTTTGTTTGGGGTTTTTTATTTGTTTGTGTTTTTGGTTTTGTGTTTTTTTTTTTTTTTTTTTTTTTTTTTTTGTTCAGTTAGTGAAAATATACTTTAAACATTTAGGCAATCAGCTGAAAATCAGACCTGCAGATCTTCTGGGGAAGAGATCTCACTTGGAATCTTTACAAGTCTGTTTCTGTTGTTTGCAAATGACTGTGACTTATAAAATAAAAGGGTTTTTTTGGTGTTGCCGTATTTTTTTATTTATTTTCAATTTATTAAGTAGCTGCTGAAAGCAAACTGGGTTCTGAATATCCATTTTTTCCTGACTAGAGCGCTTCTTTTGAGCATATAGCTAGCATGTCAGATCCATACTGAGGCTACCTTGTGTGGAAGATTCTATTTGGTTTTTGTCAGTGCTGCCAGGCTCTGATCTGCAGTCCCTAGTGCTTATTAGGTTTATTTGCTTCTTACTCCTCCCATGGCAACAGGTTGTAATTGTTGGTAGGCTTAGGACGGATTTTGTAACAGAAAACTACCTTTTTAACTTGCCAGCATCTAACTTGACTCTTGAATGGGATGGTGGTGTTGTGGGTTTTTTTTAATGTGTACTTGGGAGTTTTAGTCTACCTGTTACTGTCTGTTTTGAGGCTGTGTTAATTCATTTGGTTCTTCTGGTGGTTGCTCTCACTTGGAGCAACCTCGCTCCAGGGGATTGTGGGCTTGAATTTTCAAATGACTAATTAAAAACATGTAACAAACATAGCCAGATCCTTTGTGTGGGCTTCCTATGGGCAACTGCATCTTCCACCCTCCCATCCCATCGTGGTTCGCTGCCAGCAGGCTCCCACATGGAGCTGTAGCAATCTAGCCTCTGGCTGATTGAATTTCAGTTCACAGGGTTAATCATTGTTGCATCGCTGCACTGCAGCATTGTATTTGCATGGATTGCAGTGTTAAACAGAAGGAGGCCAGTCCTGCTGAAACACATCTGGACATCATGCTGTTTCTGAGCTCTATTATTTAGTGTTGATGCATCATGGAAGCAGTTGCTGAACATTTCTGCATCTCTCGCTCTGTCTCCTCTCCCCTTCTTAAATATAGAGCGGAGTTGCTGAAGCTCTGTTGGTTTTGGAAAATATTACAATATCTCTGATATATCCTACCTGTTATTAAAAACATGATAATACTGCAGCATACTTGGTAAAAGGGTGATGGTGTTCTCCACAGATTCCAGGTGTTTGAAACCCCAGGAATTACGTTTCGTGACTTGTACATGTAGAATGTTAGTGACAACCACAGAATAAAAAGCAAAAGCTGTAGTCTTTTAAAGATGGACACTTGCAAACCACACAGAAAATAAATTAAATGCTTCCATTACTATATATCTTAAGAAGTACTTATCAGGGCTTGTGGGTTTTTTAAAATTGAAACATAGCAATGAAATGGATATCTTATTTGATAATTAATATAGGCACTTCAAAGGTTCACGGAGCTTCTTTTCATTCACTGTTTATTTGAACTTGGGGAGAGTTGTACTGTCAGTTGTTGTAGCTCACTGACTGCAGTGATGCCATGCTGTTTCTGAGGAAATGAGGTGGCCACATACTGCAATGAAAAACTGCAATGTAATTCTCTTTATATCTGTCACTCGTGTATGTCATTCATGCAGTTCTCAGTTACAAATTTCACAGATAGATTTTTTTTCTCTTTAGTGCTGTTTGTCTAGCATATTTAACTACTAAGATGTTCCCAGCTAAGTTTCTTTTAGATATCAAGGTAAGGATAACTGCTTGGAAGCTTTTTACATCTGAGTTATTTTTAGGTAGGTTGAATGCTCAGAGGTATCCTGAGTTACAGGTTTAATAGTGTTTCTGTGAGCTCCTGATCATTATTAATGTAACCTTGAAAATATTTTGGTGTTTTATGTATTGCAGAGAAGATCTGGTATCAGCCTGGAAGAATTGCCCAGTAAGGTTATATATACAGTGTTTGTTGTGATATAGTTGCCAACAAAGGGAGAAGAAGAGGGTATGGTCAGAACTCTTCAGATTCTTTGTTTTGCAAGAAACCTACCTGCTTTGCTGAAAAATTATGAACTTTTTAAAAGCTGAACTGAAAATTACGTAGAGTTGGAGACTTCAGTGTAGTGTCTTTGGAATTGGAAGCTGGTTATGAGTCTCCACTTAGCAGGATGTTGTTAGTGTCTGCAGTACAGGTAGTGTCCTTGCAATTTCAGTAGTGTCCTTGTCTTAAAACTGCCAGCTTTATGTCTTGGTTAATACATGACTTCACATTCCTATCAGGCATGGTGATTATTTTCCTATATTGGGAGGAGATTTTAACAGTGCTTTATTTGCCTATTTGTATATTTAGATATACTTTAAATTGTACTTAACCTAAAATCTAACAACAACAACAAAAGTTGTATGTACTTTCTCTTTTTCTGTCCTCTAGTGTGACAGATTGCACTACAGAGAACATGCCCTGTCTTCTAGCTCTGCCTTAAGACACCAGTTAGGGAGGCCATCTTCCTCCAATTTCAGTTTTCACAAACACATCTAACATTGCCCTGTATTGTATGCTTCTGTATCTGTTTCCTTAACTTTTGGAATCAAGGTTCAGTCACCATATATGAGCTTTTTCTCCTGACTCATTCAAGTGTTGCAACTGTACTTGAGAAATCTCCAGAAAACCAAACACTACTTAGAAAAAGTGTTCAAATTTTTTTTTATAAGAAAACCAAGTTGAACTCTAATGTATCAAACTTGCATGGTCTTCAGTGTTCTGTCATTAAAGCAAAAGAAATTTTTTTCAGTTAGTTCTGGTCTTAAGAAATTTTTTTCAGTTAGTTCTGGTCTTAAGATATTTTGTCCCGTAGAGTTTCTACAGATTTGATAATAAACTGCAGCCTAAGCAGTTTGCAGTTTCTGACCATTTCTGTGTTCAGCCCTAGAGTAATAGGTGCATAAAAGAAAACTCCGCAGAAAAATATCCTTTAAACTGAAGAAAACTAGTCTCAAGAAAAAAAAAATGAAAGGAGGAAAAATAATATTTTTGGGCTGGACTTTTTTTTTTTCTTTCTTTGTTCTTTAACAAAACATTGTTTTCCAGATAGGAAAATACTCGGGATTTGATGTGTTCTGAGTTCTTATGTGCCTGTGTTGAGCATCGTATTTCAGAGTGGTTGCTAACATTGTCTTTTGAATAAGGCTTGGATAATTCTGCTATTCATAGCATAATTACTTTTCATTCTTCTTGGTTTTCACTAGCCATGAGGGGGAAATACAGATTTGAGTTTTTCTTCTTAACTTGATTGGACTTCAGGGAAACAAAACTGCCCCTAGGTCTTTGATCTGGTCTTGTACTCCTTTGTTCTGTATTTTTCCTGATCTGTCCTTTGAATGCTGCGTGGACTACTAAACAACCATGCAGCATGGTTTCTTGCAAGTCCATACTGGTTTTCAGAAGGGTAGCCTGTGTTTTACCATAGGCTGTAAATCATGGGAGAGACCTAAGTCTCACCTTACGACCAATTTTTAAGTCTTTTGTCTTCGGCGTCTCTTTGACCTGGAAGCACCTTGGAAGTCAAGCTATTGGTGTAGCATTGGGCTGACTGAGGCTGTGAAGTGTTTGTGTTATTTTGCTTTCATTCGTGCAAGTGAATGGTTTGGACATGAAGTTGGGGATTAAAAACATTTCTAGCGCTGCTGAAAAAGGCAACAGAGGCACAGCTACGCTAAGCAAAGGCAGTCTGTGGTGGGTGCTCCCCAGTTTGAAGTGGGCGGCTTGTCATGAGCAGTGTGTTCCCAGATGTCCCCACCAGTGGCACTCCTATAGATCACCAGAGACATTTCAAAGATAAGCCAGTCTGATGGGTGGGAAGGTCACTGTGGTGGTCACTGGCACACTCATCAAGTATGTGCTGCTTCTAGTCAGAAAGGAGCAGAAGTTTTCTGTTGCTTTTTGTTTGGGGTTGTTGGATTTTGGTTTTGTGGTGTTTTTGTTTTTTTTTGTTGTTGTTGTTTGTTGTTTTGTTTTTGGTTTTGGTTTTTTTTTTTTGGTCTGTTTCCTTGGAAGCCCCCATGGCCCATGCTGAAGTGAAGGTGTCTTGCTTAGTCCCAGATAGATGCAGATGTGGTCAGTTGTTTTGTTGGAAACCTGGAGGGGTTTCTGTTTACATTTCTTAAGTGGTGGTTGATTAAACTGCTGTGATTTTTGTAGTTGCAGAAGGTTCTTAAACATGTGTAAGCATCCAGAGTCATCTTAATGATACTCAGCTTTAGCATGCTATGAATAAAAATTGTTGACTTCTCCAGTTACTAAGGAGAACCTGGAGATAGTTTGAGTTAATAGAAAGTAATTACTGACACCCATTGTTACCTGTCAGGAGGGTAAAATTTTGTTGTTTTTGTTAACTTTTCAATAAAGAAAAATTTCTTTCCTCAGTCTTTGGGGATGATTAGGAGTAGCTGACATCTGGAAGGTTTTACTGAAAGGTTGAGATTAAAGAAGCTGCAGGATGATATGACTTGTAATAATTGCCATCAACTACGGTAACATCAGTGGTTGATTAAATGCATTGTGTAACTGTTGTGACATGTCATACTGTATTTAGTCAGCAGTGTAATTCATACATTGTCCCCTTAGTTTTGTTTCCCTTGGAGCTGTCCCAATGTTCTGCTTTGTTTTTGAAAACTCACTGACCTGGAACTATGCATAATTGTTTTTTTCCCCTCTTTCAAATACGAAGTATGTAGTAGACCATATTATTTACAAAACTCAAACTTTTTTTTTCCTTTTCGATCCTATCTGGCTTGCTTTTACAACTGTTGATATGTTAAATTTCCACAGAAGATTGCAGGTTATCTTGCACTTTCCTGTTTCCTTGCATACACCTTAATGAGCTCTTTCTTGTTTTTGCCAGGGATGGTGCGCTGAGTCATTTCCACAAGAGGCTTCTGTACCACTCCGAAGCAAGGATATATTAAAGAATAAAGGTGTGAGGGCACACCAGCGTTTTCCTGGCTAGAAAGCTAACGCCCCAGTGAATCTACTGAAGATACCTAGACTTGGTGGGACAAATATCTCTACCTCCAGTTTTATGAATACTGCTAGCTATGGCTGTGGAACTCTGTTTGCTGCTGCTGCTATTTTGTGGAAGTACTATTTCAGAGGTACAGCCTATGTACAGACCACCTCCTGGGACTTTGGATTTTGGATTTGTACCAACCAAGACGTATGATACAGGTGCATACCATGAACCTGGGCCAATAGGAATTTTGTTTAATATGGTACATTCATTCCTGTACGTAGTGCAGCCAAATTCTTTTCCTCAAGGTAAGCAGATAAACTACTTCTTTTCAGTAAAGATTTATTATTGATGTGTTCATTCTGTTGTAGACACCAAGACCAGAATCTAGAAGTAAATGATATGAAGGGCTTTGTTAGTAGCATATGTTATGAGTTGTTCCTTCTAAAGGAAAAGTCAAAATATCGGAGAGGTGTGTGCTTATTGAGGTTGCATTGATTAAAAGGTGCTTTTTGGGAATTTTGTGTTTGTGGATGTGGTAGTTGTATCAACATAACTTTCCAACATGCTTTTTGTTTCATTTAGCTCTTAAAAGAAAATGCTGATGTGTTTGTATAATACTGGCATTTAAAATTATATGGAGGTGAAACTTTAATAAAATCTAAGAATAGCTTTGGTTTGTTACTGATTCCTTTTGGTGGCTTAGCTGTAACTGTGTATAAAAAGTGTTTATATTATTTTGTAGTACATCTTTGAATTTACATATTATTTGCTTGTATTTTTGACATTACTTGAATAGTTGAAAAAGACTAAGCTCAGATGAACTTGAATGAATTAATGCTATTTAGGCAACTGCCCGGAGTCCCAGGTGTTAACCAGGAGAGCAAAATCCTGGCCCGTTCCCTGCAGGATCTGTTTTCTGAGCAAGGTGTAATGAGGGCAGTTGCATGAAGCTGACAGTAATGTCACCTTTTGGAGGAACTGTTTCCAGATACCTCTGCTTTTGTGGCTTCTTTCCTGCCATTGAATATGCAGGTGAACTGTTTGCCTCTGTGAGACCTGATATGTTAGGATCGTCATCTGCTTTCAACTCTTAGAAACAGGCCATCACTCTGCCTAAAAACCTGCTTGAATATTTTATTCTCTTACGATTGTGGAAACTTGATTTCAGTGAGATGTTTATTGTGTCTTTATATTAATAGGAATGTCCTCAGTAACCTTGTATGTCAAATATAATACTATATGTCCTAAGAATGTAAATAATTATTGACAATAGAATTTATGATCAAGGTTTTAGTCCTGTGGGATTGCTTGTAGTAAGTTCTACATCAGGTAGGTGTTGTGAAATCAAGCATTAAAGAGAAAGGAGACATCCAGAAGTAAATAATATGTTCTTAGGTTGTAAGCTTTGAACATCTCATGCCTCTTTTTCCTTCCTTGCAGATACTTTTTGCCAAATCAGTTATTTTTAGAAGTTTGGCTTTCATTATTTGCATTAGGTAAAGTCCTTTTCCCATGCCCTCGCATACCTCACTGCAAAATACAGATTTGATGGATTATGTAGGTTTGAGTCATACTATTTAATTGGTTAATCCTCATAATCTCCTTTGCCGTATGCTATTCTATTTTCATATTCAGTGTATTAACGGTGTAGTTACATATTTGAAATGTGGTGTCTTGTTTTTTCTTTTTTTTTTTTTTTTTCCAAACTACCAATTTGAAATAGAGTTAATTCCGATTCAGAGATTAAAATAAATGCAATTACAAATGGGAATGGAAAGCAAGCCTTTTGATGTTTCTAACTCAAAACTTAGTCATTCCAATTGGGCTAGTGCTTCAGAAGAGTTAATTCCAGATTGATGCTCCAGTGTATTGCATATAACCATACCACAGAGGAGAACTGTAATTTGTGTGCGGGACTTGGAATCAATCACTTAGACCTCTGATTTTAGTAGTTTTATATTTTTTTCTTAATATTTGGAAGTACTTGATATTTGGTTTTCCAATCTACTGTTAATACTCTTAGCTGGGAGGAAAAAAGTGGCATGGTTGTCTAATTGCATGTAGATATTCCTGACTTTTCAAGTCATCTTTATGCTTGCAGTAGAGGTCTGATGGAGCTGAATATGTTAAGCGTAACATTCATACTCCTTCAGTCCCAAGTATGACTTTTAGGAAGAAAACCAGTACAAGCTTTGTAGTGTTACAGTACAGCAGAATATCAACTACATCAGTCTTTGGGAAATGCTCTTTTAAGTATTTGCATGCTGCTAAGCCTTTATTTAAATGTTTGTATTTAAAAATTGAAAGGAATCACTTCATTTAAAGAAAAAAAAAAAAAGAGTCAAGATAGATTTAACAAAAAATAAAAGGAAATCTTACAAAATATAAGTGAGTAATTATTTACTCCTAAATTTTTTCATGCTATCTGATTTGTGGACATACAATTTAGTCTAAGTTTAGATTTAATAGGTAAGTTATTAATGGGATTAAGTATAGTGCCTGTTTAAAGCACAGTAACAGAACCAGGGCAAGGAACTGTACCTCAAGTTTTTTTTAAATTGCTGAATCTTTAATACTAGAACTGTGCTCTTTGGATATGGCAAGAAACTAGTTTAAAAAAGTGAACTAGGATATCTGATTGCAATGCTTTGGTGAGTGTAAAGAGATTCTGCTTTCAACTCCACCAGTCAGATACTTTTGTCCTCACTAGATGATGTACTGGTGTAAATGGGAGTGAATTTACTCCCAGGCGGAAACTGTTACACAGGTAAACAGCCTCCGCTTTGAATTAATGATACACTGGAGTGGAACAGACTGTGTTTGGTCACTGGTTTGCTACCTGAGTCTCAGTAGGTCACTTTAATTTTGCTGTGCCTTGGTTTTTCCATTTGTAAAATGGAGATGACTGCTACTAGTCCTTTTGTTGAGGACTGTGTAGGATAGAGCACTGTTATTCCTTCCTGTTAATAGCATCACTTACAATAAATAGATGATAATAGGAAAATTACGAGTTGTTTCTATCGCTCAGCTAAGAGGACATCTAACAAAACAAACTGTCAGATTTTCTGTTAGAATTTGTCATAAACCAAAGCATTAAGTTTGTAATAAAGTTAAGTCAGTTCATGGTTGTGACATGGTACGTGTCACCTGGTGTCTTGGAGACCTTCTGATGTGAACTTGGTGTGGACAGGGCATGGTCACTGTGGTCCTCTGGCTGCTATGAGTATCTTATGGTTTTGTCTTTGTTCCCATGGAAACCAGTTGTTAGTTGCAGTAAAACGATGTTAATCTGAGATTCCACTTGCCAGCAGGATGTGCACAACAAATCATTGGCTTCACAGCTTGTGTTTTGTAACAAAAATGTGAAGAGTTCACAAAGGAAACAAGCTGAGAACAAAGCTCCTGCTCTTGTTTTTAGGTGAAATAAGAAAAAAAAAATGTACAGGCCTGTTTACCTTGCTCTGCTCTACCTGAACATATTGCAGGACAACTGTGCCACTTGCATTCAGTTACAATTGCTTTGTTCCAACTTTTGCTTTTATTCTGGATAACCTTGTTTCCACTGAAGCAGGAATAAAACTTGAATGTAAAAATCAACTGTTGAATGCCGGTACTTCCTGGGCAAAATATATTGTGAAGAGTTAAATGTACTATTTGCCTGTGGGGAACAAGAATGAACTGTTTTTTTAGACCTGGACTTCACCTCTCCTTTCTGTTTGTGGAGTCCCGCTTGTTGAACAGTTTGAGCATAAGACTGAGGACTGGAACTTAACTACTTTAATGCAAAGTCCTGTCTCTGACGCATTTTGCTCTTCCTTTCTCCTTACCTGGTCAGCTTTTTAAAGCAGCTGCAATTTGTGAAGTTCAGCAAGTTAGTCTTGTGTGTCTGCAATCACTCAGATAAGTGTATTCAGCAATTAAAATATTTTAACATTTCTATAAAACAAAGTTATCACATAACTTGATGTGAAAATAGTTTATCAGTAGTTAGTATATCTGTAATAGAAAATGCATATGCAAAATCCTGTTGTTGTAGGTAGATTTGATGAGCTCCTAGGATATTAATTATTTTTAATACATTAGCTGTGTTGGATGTGAGGTTCTAAAGCAGATAATCCAAACACTTTATCACTTCTTCAGTTAAAAACTTAGTCAGAATTTTATTTTTTTGGGGTGTGTAAAACTAATTTCTTTGCCTTTTGTAATTATTCAGTTCTTGGTTGCCCATTTCTACTTTAGTTTTGCTTCTTGTTACTAATAAATCTTCCACAGCTCCCCTACAAAAAAAAAAATGCCTGTGTCTGCATTTTGCAGCATTAGAGCTAAACTCAGCTATGGATAGCTGGTAATGTCCTTTTGTTTTTAAACTTGAGACTTTCCAGGAACGTCGGGCATGTCCACACCAGCATGTAGTGAAAGGACTGTGTTCTGGTTCTCACTTGAGCTCTGACTTAAATGCAGATGCTGCAGTCCAACAACGTAAGATACTGCTCAGGTTCCCAAAGCTGTTATGACCTTTTATACAAACCTAAAGTATCCTTTTTTCAATTGTGTGAAGTCTCAGTTTTAGTTTGGGTGTGAAAGTGCACTGTTGTGATAGACTACTATTTTGAGCTAGTGTTTGACAGCTAGGCGTCTGTGCTTGTGGGTTGGTTTTCTTAAAGCTTACACCCTGAAGCTGGGTTGGGAGCACAGATGCAATTTCTGGTGCAGGAACTGAGAAGCGCAAGACCTGCCCTTTAGTAAGTTAGCTGTTAGATTGGCTAAACTGTATTGTGAAATGACAATTTCAGTAAGCTGTAAAGTCATTGCCATCACCACATCTCTAAGTTTTTTTTTTTTTCCAGCACTGTGGCTTGAGCTGTGACATGAATTTAAAGTAGTAACTGAAGTGTGTATAGCAAAATGCAGGTTTCAGTGACAGAGGTCATATGTAGCAAGTACTGGTGGTGTCAGAAGGGGGACTTGATAGTGCTCCTTTATTTAGTTATATGGTGTATACATTGAAAGAAATGTCTTGGGTCTAACATTGGAAATACTGGGGAAAATGGATCAGCAGAAGGATACAAGATAAATTAGCCTCTTCTTTTCTCTGCCCACTTGTATATATTAAGGAAATAGTGTTTAAAAAAAATCATTGCTCATTTCATGTTGGGAAGTTGAGATGCTCTGCTTGATGACATACCCACGTAAACAAGGAACACTGAGAATGTTTCTGAAGCAGATTTAAGACATGCTGCTTTATTTTCTTAGGCATCAGAAGAGTAATTCCTTTTTCACTGACCTATTCCAAACTGCAGAGTAT